TATTTGATGCGCTGCACCTTGGCGTGGGCCATCTACCTTTGATGCACTGCACCTTAGTGTGGGCCATCCCTATCATTTATCTTGTACATACTCGATACTCTTCCCCGTCACCATCGAGCAAAAGAATTTACTATGATATACTGAATAATTGATTCGTAAGAGAACTTCGTCATTATCTAAACCAGTTTTATAAAATAATAAACCGAAAATTTAATATTCGATTTTAATATACTGTATTAGGATTTAGAAAGTTTGACCAACCTGAAGTTGAGGCATTGCGCAATTTACTTGCCAAGAACTTTCCATTTATATCCTGAGTAAAAAGGTGTTAGTCACGTGCTAATATTAATTAATCAAAGAAATGATAAAATTACTTATCGATTAAGTTCTTAAATGATTCGATTTATGAACTTTTATTATTGGAGAAGCAATGCTCTAGTCCCCATTGAAGTTTTAATATATCACGAGTATTCAGTTACTCTTTGACGAAAGGAGAAGGTGACAGAAGATAAGTGCTTGTCTCTTAAGCCAATCAAGGGTACTGTCGCTGTAAGTCAATTATTTAGCCAATTGGATTCTGAAGTGAGCTAGTTAATATTCTAGTAAATTATTAAATTCTTTAAATGCGTATTTTTAAATAAGAATGATAAATATGGGAAGGAGTCGATGTATTAAGCTCGAACACCACCACATTGATATACTCCAAATTCCTGTGATAAAAGAAAAGTTTCAAACTCTTCTATATCTGTTTGTAAAATACGTATATCATCATATATAATTTTAAGTATCTTTTCAAATTCAGAATAATCATATTTACAATCATTTCGTAAAATACGAATATCATCACGTATAATTTCGAGTATCTTATAATCATTTTGTAAAAGAAAAATACTTTCATTAATTTTATCCAAATCTTGTAAAAGAATATCATCGTCTAAATTTTTTATTTCATTTGATGAATAATCTTTTTGCTCTACTACCAAACTTAAATCTATTTTTTGCTCAATAATCGAAGATGAATAATCGCGATTTTTATTCGAAGTCAAAATTGTTTTGTCAGGATATAGCATTTCATCTGTTTCTCTTTGGTTATCTTGGCTATTTTCAAAGTTGAACGATTTGAAAGTACTGATTTTATCAGATTCTTTGACAAAATTAATATGACTATGTTTATGAATATATAGGAATTTAATGATATCACAAATCTGGTTTTTATGCGCATAGATTGTTAAAATAAAAAAGAATAATGATAAATTAAAATAAAATTCAATTATGAAGGGTTGGATTTTGGATTTATTTGATATTTCAACGATAAGAGTATTGTTTTGGGTTTTATTTGATATTTCAACGATAAGAGTATTGTCTTGGAATTTATTTGATCTCAATATTTCATTATTATTATTTTGACAATATATTTCAATTTGAAATAGACGACCTTTGTGCCAAGTAAAAAAGGAAGCAATGATCTTGTCAGTGAAATAAGGCTGAAATGACTTTACTACTAATTTTTGTTTTTGTTTCGATGAATTATATTCTTTATTTTTGTTGAAAGAGATAAATATTTTGTTGAAGATTGTGTCTTCATAAACCGAATAAGATTCTTCATCTGTGATATATTGGCCTTTGTTTATTTCTCTATTATTGGAGTGAATAGATTCAGGATATTTGAAGATAATTCTTTCGAATAAGATGGAAAACCCGACAACAAGACCAGAAAACAATAATTGTGGTAGAATCAAATTATTATTATTTAATAGCAAAATCAAAGATGCAAAAATCAAAGTAGCAAGGATCAAAGAGACAAGAATCAGAAACAAGAAAACTAAAATCAAAGAAAAAAAGATAATAGTTGTATAAACAATTCTTAGCAACAATGCTAAAGGTTTTAAACTGTTTCTTGATATTTTGTAATTTATTTTACTGTTAAAAATTGTTTGGACTGGATTTTACGTGCTCTTTTTAATAGCATTTTTTCATAAATGAACTTACTCGAATAAGGAGAAATTATTGGATCTGTCTTTGTCACCGCGGTTATTCGTATTACCTTATAAATTTTTAAAAATGAAACTGTTAGCATTCTGTTAAAATACAGTATTATAACAGATATATAACACTGATCTGTTATTTCACAAGTAAGCTTGCTCAAATAAGGCGATAATTAAAATATAAATGATTTGATTTCTGCTATCTCTTCATCAGGGTTATTCATATTACCTATTTTTCCAAAATGAAACCTCAAAGTATATCTCCACATAAACATTAAAATTTATAAAGCTGATCTGTTACGCAATATATACACGAAATTTTAAATTAATTTTTTTTTATATTATATTAAAGGAAAAGTATTTTGTATTTTTATATGATAATGTTAATAATTAGAATAAAAGAAAAAGTATAAAAGTAGCTACATTTTTTCTCATATTAACTCAAAGAACTTCTTAGTAATAGTAAACCAAGATCATTTAAAGAAATTGATAATATGAATGTTTTGAAAAAGATAACTTCAAAAATTGAACAGAAGGATGAAGTACAAAAGCCATTGCTCAAACAACTTTTAGAAAATAAAAATTTTTATCGGGTGTAAGTAATATCTTTCGTTCTTCCTACATAAAAATTTCATGCTGATTTATAATCAATTATATATAAAATCTGCTACTATGGTCAAAAATATAATTCTTGTCATGATATTGCTTGTAGAACTTCTTGTTATATTTTTAATTTGGGTGTAAGTAATATCTTCACTTTTCCTACATAAAATACTCATGCTGATTTATTAATCAATTATTTAACAGGGTCAAGTCGCGGCAGTATTCGTATTTATACATTGAGCCTTATGAGCCAGTTGAACATGGAACTTTTGGTGTCGATCAATCTAATTGGAATATAATAGCACTACGAATAAAAGATATTTTTGCTGGAATTATGGCTGGATGTCGTGGGTTCGAACATCCAGATTATGATGGGGTTGTGCCGTATTAAATAGTTTCAATTTATTCGGTTTTGTTCACATCTTCTTGCGAATAGTTTGAACATCCGTATTGATATAATTTTGTAAAAAATTGCATTTAATTTATATTAACGTAAAGTTAAATTTGTATTTATTATATAACGTTAAGTTTTTAAAATTCCGGCCAATATTTGATAATCTTGGTCGAATTATTTATATAAATTTATGTTAAAACTTAGTTTTATGACATAAATGGAATTTCGCCAGAACTTCTGGTAAATTGTGATGCAATTCGAATCGTGGGTCATGTGATATTTAGTCCATGCAAGGTTACACGGCATAAATTTAATCTATTTAAAAGATTTTTTTATCTAATTAAGCTATTAAAGTTATACTATTACCTTTGTAAGCAATATCCTCATAACCCTCATTTTTTTGAAAAAATTTTGACGCTTACAAAGCATACTTTGCCAAAAGTAAATAAAATTATCACAATTCAGACATAACTCGAGTTTTTGGTAGACAATTGGGTAACTAACCAAGTCACCTTATTTAAGTAATGGAGGACGACAGTGAGGTAAAAATGCAAGATATAGTTTTATTGGATAACAAAGATCAAGAAAATACTACAAGCAACAAAAAAAAAAGAAGCACTATCACAGCTACAAATCTCTATAAAGATTGTATAAAGGGAGTTGCACAGAAAAAATTGATTCGACCTTCAATTTCTCCAGTTACATCATCTAATACACCATATGTTTTGCAAACATTGAAAAAATATTATGAGCAAATGATGGAAAATAAAGAACAAACAAAGATCAATTTGGAATGGATTGACTTATCTAGTAGACTTCAACAGACGTATACAATATATATACAAGAGAAGAGTAAAACATATGTATTTGAAACTGAAAAAAATAAAACTATTATTAATATTTTAAAACAATCTATTCCTGAAGATCATAATTCGGAAAAAAATGCGTTAGAAAAGGGTTTATGATTTACTTTTATCATTAGTAGTTAGTGGTGATAAATTAACAATTCTTTTTGAGTTGTATCACAAAATGCTAAGAGAACTGAATATGACTATTAATTATCTACAGTCAGTAGATAAATATGAATTTGAGGATTTCAAAAATTATTTTTTGGACAATTGCAGCAAAATGACAAGTAAGCAAAGTTTTTTTTTGTTTATTTAATTTAAATATACTATTAATTGTTATTTAATATTTTAGATTTGTGGTACTGCTAAAAATTTAATCAATTTTGGTTGTTATTATCAATTAAGAATTAATATGTTTCGTACCTTACACTTTTTATGGATACTATGGTAACATTATAATATGACTAATGTAAAAATGATTTAAGGTATACTAATTATAACAATAAAATCAATAATTTTTCAAGAAATTTATTTATTATAAACTGGAGTAGAATGTCACACTTGTTAATTAGTAGTTTTTAAATACATAATATTATATAGTTTCTGAAATCAAAAGTTTGATGATGAGGGGCTATAATACAGTGCGATAATACTAGGCCGAACTTTCGTAAGATCAGTACTTTAAATACTTTACATACAAAAAATTACATATAATATAAAATTAAACATTTGAAACAAACACTAGTAATAGTTCGATCTTTGTTAATTTTAACCAAAGTGGACAAGTTTTAGGATTAATTCTGACTAGAATTAAAGTGAGTAAACTTTAAAATTAATTCTGGTCAGCATTAATATTTTCTAGTGAACATGTTCTTGCTAATCTTTTTACATGATGTTTTACTAATATTTTTTTCATAAGGTATCAAGATTTTATGTTTTACAACACTAAACTAATATTTTTAGAAATAAAAAGCATGTTTTTCTTAGTACTGTAATATTTTATGCAGCTTCGGCACTAAAAAGTCCATGCATGCACGTTGTTTTAGAAGTTATTTTTATATTAGATATGATATCTAATATCTAAGTTATCTGATAGCTAGAAATGAACAAAACTTTAATTATGTTTCACAACATCCAAGTGAGTATTTTTTTTAACAAAGAATCAAGGAGTAAGAATATTATTTGGCTTAACTATTTACACGGTGTTTGATTATATTTAACAATGCCTAAGCCAATATTTTTATCAAAGGATTAAGAAGTAAGCATGTTCTTTGGATTATCTATTTGCACAGTGTTTGATTATGGTTTACAACATCCAAGTGAGTATTTTTTTAACAAAGAATCAAGAAGCATGTTATCTAAGATAATATTTTATCAAAGAATCAAAGAGTAAGCATATTCTTTGGCTTAACTATTCACACGGTGTCTGATTATGTTTCATAACGTCTTAGCTAAGAATCATGTACTTTCTTTGGCTTATCTATTTACGCGGTGTTTGATAATGTTTTACAACATCCAAGTGAATATTTTAACAAAAAATCAAGAAGTAAGCATGTTATCTATTTACACAGTGTTTGATTATGTTTTACATAGTCTAATATTTTATCAAAGAATCAAGGAGTAAGCATATTATTTGGCTTAACTATTCACACGGTATCTGATTATGTTTCACAACATTCATATGAATATTTTAACAAAGAATCAAGAAGCATGCATGTTATCTATTTACAAAGTGTTTGATTATGTTTCACAATATCTAATATCAAAGAATCAATGAGTAAGCATATTCTTTGGCTTAACTATTCACAGTGTTTGATTATGGTTCATAACATCTTAGCTAAGAATCAAGCACTTTCTTTGGCTTGTCTATTTACGCGGCGTTTGATAATGTTTTATAACATCCAAGCGAATATTTTATTTAACAAAGAACCAAAAAGTAAGCGTGTTCTTTTGCTTATCTATTTACACGGTGTTTGATTATGTTTCACAACATCTTAGCTAATATTTTTATCAAAGAATCAAGAAGCAAACATGTTCTTTGGCTTATCTATTTGCACAGCGTTTGATAATGTTTCACAACGTCTAAGCCAATATTTTTAACAAATAATCAAGGGGTAAGTGTGTTTTTTGGCTTATCTATTTACACAGCGTTTGATTATGTTTCACAACTTCTAAAATAATATTTTTATCAAAGAATTAAGAAGTAAGCATGTTATCTATTTACATGGTGTTTGATTATATTTCACAACATCCAAGTGAGTATTTTTTTAACAAAGAATCAAGAAGCATGTTATTTAAGATAATATTTTATCAAAGAATCAAGGAGTAAGCATATTTTTTGGCTTAACTATTCACATGGTGTCTGATTATGTTTCACAACGTTTAGCTAAGAATTAAGCACTTTCTTTGGCTTATCTATTTACGCAGTGTTTGATAATGTTTTACAACATCCAAGTGAATATTTTAACAAAGAATCAAGGAGTAAGCATATTATTTGGCTTAACTATTCACACGGTGTCTGATTATGTTTCACAACATTCATGTGAATATTTTAACAAAGAATCAAAAAGCATGCATGTTATCTATTTACATGCCGTTTGATTATGTTTCGCAACATCTTAGCTAATATTTTTATCAAAGAATCAAGAAGCAAGCACGTTCTTTGGCTTATCTATTTACACAGCATTTGATAATGTTTCACAATGTCTAAGCCAATATTTTTAACAAATAATCAAGGGGTAAGCATGTTTTTTGGCTTATTTATTTACACGGCGTTTGATTATATTTCACAACTTCTAAAATAATATTTTTATCAAAGCAAGAAGTATGAATATTTTTTGCAAGAGTAAACATGTTCTTTGGCTTAACTATTTACACAGCATTTGATTATATTTTACAATGTCTAAGCCGCAATTTTATCAAAGAATCAAGGAGTATTGAATGAATCATGTGAAAGCCATACTATAAGATTAATCTTTTTAAAAAAGTCTCTAATTATTATTCTGGCCAGAATTATGTATATTATACACTGTATTGTACTGTTCATATTATTAAGTTCAGATTCAAATATATAAAGATTAATAATTAAAGAGACCGAACTTAGATTGTTTCTTAATTAAAATATTAATTCATTGAAAATATCACAACTTGAATTTTTTTAAAATGCCTTTTCATATTCCTTTCGAAATCACAAACCATCAAGAAACCTTAAACAATGTTATTAACAACATCGATTAGCAAACACTTGAAAAAATCAAACAAACAGTTGTCTTACATGTACCTCTTCATCAACTTATTGCACCGAGCAAAAATCGAAGAACACAGCAAATTCCCAGACCCCAAAATAGTTTTGTACTATACAGGAGAAACTTAAGTGCAGCAATTAATAATGCAACAAGCACTCTTTCATGTGCATCAGATAATAACGCAAGTAATATTTCATTCATTTCAAAAGAAGCATCCAAAAATTGGTCAAAAGAAAGTAATGAGGTTAAACAAGTTTACGAAGTATTAGCTAATTATACAAAGAAAGTTTATAATATATTGTATCCAGATTACAGTTATAACCCAAAATTTAATAAAAAGAGATCTAGGATTCACTTATCTAAAGTACTAAAATTACCCTTTTCTCTGATTATGGCTTTGTCCCAGCCCATGTTCAAGGCATATCCTTTTGAAAAACATCCTAAGTTCCCAACCTTACCCCTACCACAAATTATAAAAGTAGAGAATAGGAATCTTACAGAATATGATAAAAAAGTATGAAGGTTGGTTAATGACTTAAACAGAGTATAAGACCTTTTCCATAGATGATCTCTTTAATTTTAAACTTAATGCTAATAAGTTGAAACTATAATTTAATTAATAAATATTTTGGTAGATGTTAAATTAATATAGATCAACATAAGAGTTGTCATTTAATTATATTTGGGTATAATCAAAACAACTTAAATTTCTACCTTGTCTAAGGAAGTTGTCTTATATGCATACTTTCTAAAATGGTCAACTTTGCATACAAGTTCGTTCAAACTGACAGTCAAATTCGTATAAATTGACAGTCAAAGCCTAAAGAAGAAAAGAAAGTTGATAATTCAAAATTTTGAATACTTCAACTTGATTATTCAATAATAAATCAATACAATATGATAAAAATTTTATCATCTCGGTGCTTAATGATAATTTAATTGAATATATTTAATTTAAAATCAAAAAATCAAAAATTAATAGTATTATACAGTATTATTTACAAATCAAAAGAAAGTAATAAACCTACAAAGTAATAATTAAATAATTGTAATTGGCAAATTAATTTAACTGACTAGATTGAGATTTAATTATTTTAACTGAAACAAAATCTAGTTTAATTACAGTAATTGTAACTTTGAAAGAGATTCGAATCTTGTCTAAAATTATTTAAATCATATAAATTTTTAAGGATTACATACTGTAGACTCTATTATGCAAGAAAACCAAATCGACAGTTTTTTAAAGTTACTTCATAACTTTTATGAACAAAATGTATACTTAATTTCTAGTAATATTTGCACAAAATGTAACTGTGAATTGATGAAATATATAAAATACAAAGCTAAGATTCTGACAAAATTAGCGTTTTATTGCGAAATATGTAATTGTGTTTTTTTGAAAAAACATGATATTAAACAGCATAACAAAGCAAAACATAACTGACTAATATTAGCAAAAAAAAACATGTAAGTAAAACATTTTTTTAAAATTAAATTGTTATTATTCAATTAGATAAAATTAACGAAAGCACATATTTAAATTTAGGTAATGATAAATTTATTAACAATGAATCCGAATTTAGAAAGTATATTCTTCGACGCATTGTTAAATAAATTTTAATTGTATAATAAAATTAAACGATATCTTTTTTTTTTTTTGGTATTAAGGTGAGGCCTTGCTCGTATCTTTATTAGTAATTTAAAAATAGTAACTACATAGTGA